TTTTTTTGGTTTGTTTGGGGTTTGTTTTTTTTTTTTTTTTTCCCCAAGAGATATTTTTAGGCACTGGTGAGAGGAATGGTGATTGAAAGTGGACACATTTGTAGGCAGAATGCAAAATGGAGTGAAATAAGCAGCATGCTCAATGTAGCCTATCCTAGTATACACTGACTACGGCAATGCCCACATGAGAAACTTCCATTAAATAAAATTAATATTTCTTAACACTGGAATAAGGGAACTGGTGCTGAACTGGTAAGTTTGAGGGCTGGTATCTGATAGATTTATGTAGTTGCCAGGAATGGTAACTAATTATCTGTAGCTAAATCTCGAAAGAAGAGTATTTCGTCTGGTCTATTGAATTTTTCTGCCCACTGTACATCACAAATGTTTTCATCTGGACTTAAAAAAAATGATTCTAGAAGTGTCAGCTTTGAACTTTCTCACCAAACTATCTGGCTTCATAGAAACTTTATTCAACCTCAGGGTCAAAATTTCTCTTTAAATGAATAAAAGTTTCTGTAAGGTGATATAGCAGTGTGTTAATTGGTTACAATATAAGAACTTAATTTGAAGTTATTTGACTTACACTATCATAGGAAATTCTTGTATACAACATTACTCCATGGGTCATGCCAAGTTCCCCTGAAGTAAGAACAAGGAAAAATGAACATACCACACCATCCCTGTTCTTCAGCTGATGAAATGTCACTGTATGAATCTATACTTTTACAGTTATTTTTACTTTTCAAAGGGATAAAAGTCTTGAGGAGCATTGTGAAGTATTAACAAAACTGGTTCATACACCATCTTTTTTAGTGGCTCCTACAGCACCTTTTAAGTAGTCACCAGTTTTTTGATATTGCATATGTCAGTGGAATATATATATATATATGTGTGTGTGTGTGTGTGTGTGTGTGTGTGTGTGTGTTTGATGCAAGTACTATTGTATAAGAAAAATAGGAGAATTCTAGTGCCAAAAGTGCTATTTTTTTTCTTCGGAATTGCACAAACAGTTCACCTATATTGTGTAATTTAGGTTGGTTGTGCTTACCGTAAATAATTAAAATTTTAAATAAACCTTTTCCTGATACCATGGTTTGTGTGTAATGAAATGTGACTAGCTGCATCCAGTTCTTCAGGAATAAAGCATGAATCTCAGGCAGCAGCTAATATTGTGTGCCTGTTCAGCTCCACAGGAGGAAGTCTACCAGATGTTTTATAGATATCTGCTCCTATCATCCATAGAAGTCTGTGGCCTACAAAACTGTGCTGCAAATATCTTCGATCTTTTCAGAATAAACATCTTAGTAAGGTATTTGTAGTTTTTTGACATATGATACCATTGTGTGCATGCTTTGTCAAGCAATCAAACCCCACTGGATTTCGTGGTGTAGAATTTTCTGGATTTCATATAGTGTAGAATTTTCCTCTTTGACTTCCTCTGGGCAGGCAGTTCCAGAACTTTGTGTTGAATACAGCAATTGCTTCCTTTGTGCATATCAGTTTACCTGCCAAATAATTCCAAATCTGTTTTTTGGAGTTTCCCTGCCTGAACCACATGAAACCAGTTGTAGTTATATCCTCAGGTACACTGTATTCACATGTTCTCTCTGCAAGTGAAAATAAGCTAGCTCAATCTATACACTTAAATGCAAATCAAGCAGTGGATGATGTTGTTGTAGTGTCAGTGTTTCATAACAATAAATGGAGAGTTAAGTGTCTGTGTACTTCTGTGCAGTGATGTCTGCCAGTATGTATCACTTACAGAGGTGAGATTCACTGAATCATACTTTCAAAAGTCTAAGTGATTATTTAGCTAACATATTTGGCTTTATCCAACACTTCTTTCCTGAGGAAGAAAATCCTTAATGGAAGTACATACTTTTTGCATGGTACAGCATCTGTGATGGTAAGAAAGGCGAGAACCCTACTTGTGTCACGACAAGAGTAGTGTAATTTATGTAAAACAAATGCATATGGAGCTTATGCAGGGCCAATTAGCTGTTGCAGTGTCTGCAATTCTTTCACATGATAATCTATCCATTTTTATATCCAATCTTTGAGCTGTTGTTAGACCAGTTTTTCCATAATGGGGTAACAAATCAGGCAAGTGTTCTTGCAAACATTTTCTTCTTCTCTTTCTCCATAAAAG